ACAGGGAGGATTCAGAGCTGTACCATTGCTAGTAAAATACTGCTTTGGTACCCTGATAGTGTATATTCTGAAAATGTATGGTCTAATTTCAAAGTGGCATTTCTCCAGCTTCTTTTTGGCAAGCAGGACTTTTCCCTGCCCTAGCAGAATTGATTCCAAGTTCTTAAAAGTTACAGCTTCACAGTGATTGTGTTTCCTCTGTAATCACATGCATTCTTTTTATATAAGGAAGATAAATTACACTCAGTTGTGCTAGGATATGAACAGGCTGGAAATCTACTGGAGCGTAGTGATGGCGAAGTCCCAGCCATAGGACTGTGTGTAAAGATATGTGGGAAACCCCAAAGGTGCTCTACCACTGTATTCCCAGTTCTGGGAAGCATGAAGGATCAGACCAGCTTCCTCCCTTCCATAACACTGTGTACAACAAGAAGTTGAGTTTGCGTTTTGAAAAAGTAACATTGCTAATACATTGGTTACAAAATGGTAAGGAATCTTATTTCTTTAAACTTAGTAATAATCTTGGAGCATGCTGATCTTGAATGTCATTAATTATGCAGCAAAGCTTTTGAGAGATTAATGACACCACCTGTGAGTAAACACAACCCACAGACGAAGCTAACCTGAGCTTTGACTGAGAAACTCAAAAGTAGTCATTTGCTGCGTGTGTTCTGGGGATTCTCATAGGCTGTTCTCAGATGTAATGCTATAGTGAGGTGTTGCTATATTGAAATGAAGGAAGTGAATTCACTGGTGCACAGCAGCAGTGAAAAATCCATTTTCCTGTACTGAAATATGGTCTTCAAATCAAAGGCAACAAATGAATATTCAGTTCCTGTGACCACTAAGTTGCTACATTTCAAAGAGAACTCGAACTATTTGGTGTGTGTGTTGGGCAGTAACTTACAACAGAATTCTCCATTGTTTCCATTGCTTTCTGAAAGCACTCCTAATTGTACAGTTGCCTTTCAGTGGCCTCTGAGAACCACACCTGCAGACTTCATAGAAGGTTTATCTTGTTTTTATTTTTACAAGTTGACTATTTGGATTGATATTTGTTACAGAATGAGATAAATGGTTCAGTGCTTCTCGTTAGGTAAAGCTTGTGATAGTGAAGAATGCAAGTCTGTCTATGCTATATAATTTGTTAAAAAATAAACATTCATGGTTCAGTCCTTTCTCATTCTAGCCTCTTTTGTCAGTGTAGGTGGAGTAACAATTAGTAATGCTCCTTCTTGTTTGTAGTCTGTTTCTGGTCACTGTAGTGTGAACGCTGCATTTTGTTTTACTGCACTTGAATTTCATGTTTAGGTATTGAATGGGTTTATGGAACTTAGAAAATTAAGTTTTGTCGAATACTGCATATGCTTCAAGTGCAGCCAGACAGTAGGCACTGTGTAAACACATGAAAAATCATCTGCCCAATGAGCTTGTATCCCAAGATCTGTCATAATCAACGTGCTTACTGTAGAACTTTTACTTTCTCCAGTGAGGTAAGACTTGTGTATTTGTGGAACACAGTGTGTCCAACTTAAGGCTGTTCCACACCAAGTAAATCTTCCCGTATTTCTCCAATTCAATAAAATTTTGTCAACATGCCATATGTAAGTTGTGCTGACAACTTCTCATGGTGGCATTTCATTCCAAATAAAACTAAACGCAGGAGATACCCTATGTTATATGAAATCCACATGGCGAGATGTTAACAAGAAATATATATTCTTAAAAGCTATCTTTGTGGAATTCAGTAAGCTTGGTTTTCTTGAATCGTCTGCAGATCCTATCATTGGTTCTGGAATGTGCTCTTTCCCTTTGCCAGGGCTGCCAGACAGAGCCCTCTGACAATCTCTTTATCTATAGGGCTGTCTATAATGTTAATTAGTGAACTCTTTGAAAAACCGGCTTCCATGAGTTAATTTATGCACAAAACATCACTGTGGGTTGTGTTTTACCTGTTTCCCAACTCAGGGACCAAAGTATAGCTTAGGAAACTTGGCTTGGGCCACACAAGAAGTCTGTGTCGTAGCCAAGAATTGAGAGATTCACATTTCATTGCCTGACCACAAGACTTTCAGAAAATAAAGAGCTGAACAAAAGCAGATGCAGCCCTAAGAATTTGAGGTTGAGTACAGTTTGCCGGGTGCTTTACTCTGCCCATAAAACTGGAAGGATCTGCTTTGGAAGCCTAATAGTGCTTATGCATTCCTAGCTATTTATTTGCAAACTACCAGACTGCAGAGATTTCAGCCTGACTTGGTCTTCAGTGCAAATCCAGACAGTGCAGTATTTAGTTTTCTGACTCTCTTAACTCACTGGTACAACTTCATAATAATTGTTTAGGGCTGATCCCTGGGCTCAGAGAAGAGGAAAAGGAATTTCAGTGCTATGCTTTTTCAAGAGCTTTTCAAGAGCTAGATCCAGGTTACAAAATCAAGGCAGGATCTGAAATCATGAGACTGGTATTCCAAAGCTTCAGTGGATTTTTCTGTTTGTCTGTATGTGTCTTCTGAGTACATGCTCTCCAATGTAGCAAGGAGATACAGTAAGCTCAGTAAGACTTGAAGTGCTGTTTACCTACTGAAGTGTTTACATGGCTGCTATTCCTGTTGGTGTATCTAAGCACTCTGCAGTATTTAATGGATCTCACAGACAAAAATTCTCCAGTACTAATATTCTGTAGGTTGAAACTGATGTACAGAAGGGCATAAGCCCAGCTTCATGATGCTATTTAATCATGTAACTCCTGTGTTTTCAGTGAGACCTTTGCATTTTACAGAAGTTAGGCACACATGCAATTTGGTGACAGTTCCGTGACTTGCCCAGGCTCTCACACAGTCCTTGTCAAATGATCTCAGTCCTGTCATAGCAGTCCTGTATTAGCACAGGGAGAATTAATGTTTCACATATTCCTCTGTGAGAAGGTAAGACAATTCAGGCTAGAGGGAACAGTTTTTAGCTGCAAGGAAAACAAGCTGCTGAAACAATAGCAGTCTAACTTGATGGCTCCTCACGCATTAACAGTGGAAGCTTGAAAAGAGATGCCTCCTGGTGTTGCTGCTGCTACGTGTGGGTGTTGTACAAAGCCCACTTGCTGATAGTCCACAGTTTATATCACACTGAACTTGAGATTTGATTCTAATGGCAGCTGCCACCTTTACATCTCTGCTTCTGTAACATTTTTCTTAGCCTGAACTCCTCATACTGGTGTTGGGAGCAGTTCATAGACTTTCTTTCAGTCTGATGGCGTAGACAGGTGGGATATTTTGTAACAGGCAGTTCTGTGCCAGATATCAAAGTCAGAAATTTCAGAATTGGGAATATGAGGAAGGGGAGTGGGATATAGTCTGTCCCTGAATTTTGGATGGCTGTGTTAATACTGGTTGATTATCCTTCAGAGTGCAATTATTATTTGGACATAGAAGACACCTCCCTCTAAATTCCTTGTGACATAAGGTCTCTGACTAAAATTAGGTCACAGCTATTGAATTGTTCAGTTGTCCACCCACAAGGGAGCTACAGAGACCTCTTACAATTCCTTGCAATCAAGTAAGTAGCAGTTTCTCTCATTTATCCTCCAAGGAAGCAGTTCACCAAAAATAATATGTTGATTCCTTCACCCCTCCCTGTCACTAATCACTCCTCTCTCTTAGCTATGTACTGACTTGGCCCTCATCATCAGAGTATCCAAGTCATTAATTTTCAACTTACATCACTTCGGTGATGTAAAAAGTGTTGTCCTCATTTCACAGCTGGAATTGACACATCAAGTGAGTGATGTGCCTGAAGTTTCACAGCAATCATGGCCATAGAAACTACTGACTTATTCTTAGACTATTCTGTTTCTTGGAAAACTAACCTGTGTTCCTTCTCCTTGTTTCTGCTACCCCCTTTGCCTCCTCTTGTTGATTACTGGGCCGATAGTTCAGTTGTCTTGAGCATTCAAACCAGCCATTGACTAGCGGGGCCAAATGGATACACCTCTCCCTTGTGTGAGCACGAGCAGCATCGCTGCTGCCATGTAGGGAGTTAGGTCAGGGAACCAATTCAGGGTGAAGCTAATCTATCACAGAACAGTTTGAGCCCCTTATCAGGCTTGTGGCAGCGGCAGAACAGAGAAAAGACAGGACAGTGCCGTGCAATGGCTAATAGCTTGAATGGCTTGTGGGACTGTGTACTCTCTTTTCCCTGGTGGGAATGCAAACAGCATCAAAACCTTAACCAAAATAGTTTCTAGTTTCTCTTTTCAAGTGTAGATTGCAAACTTGGTATTTTCACCGTGTCTGTAGAGCCTCCCCAAAGCAAGGCGAAGGGGCAGCTGAGAAGTGCAGATGTGTTCTTGTGATGACTTTACTTGTGACCTATGTGGCAAGCTTTTCTTGTGTGGCTGTTAACATTAAAAGTGTTTGGCTCCATACAAACTTTTTCTGCTTGAAATTAAACTGTTTGTGAAAAGTTTTAAGTGCAACCAGAGAAAGGCGCTATTACCAGGATAAGTACCTTCACAAAGGGAGTAATTTAAGTGTTGCAGATTGCTACCACATCTTGCCTTGCAACACTCGGACCTGCATCAGCCCATGTAACCTTGAGTGGCTCCTTAGAAAACAAGACAAATAAAAATGGTGTGTGGGGTTTTTTAAGTCTTTGGAGTGTCATCTCGAGGAGATTCCTGCTGTGACTTTGATGTGAGAGTCACACATATAGGGAGAATGTCCTGCTTTGCTGATCGCTCCCCAAAAGTGGCATTCAGAGAGTTTCCAAGTTGCCCTTCTGAGATGTGCTTTTAGCTTTCAAAACAAACCATGTATTGAATCCTGCTGCTTCACTTGAAGAGTTGCAATGTAGGAGAACTGCCAGTGTGCAATGATGCCCTCATCCTGACTGTATCAGAAGTCTAGTAGGGACCTAGTAGTTAGGGGACTTCAGGAAGGGACGTTGCCATGCTAATGGCTTGCTTGTTGATGACTAAGGCAGGAGAGAGATGGCAAATATTTAGAATAAAAGAAGCTTTTTTTTTTCTTTCCACATTTAAGGAAATGCTACAGAAGAGAACAGACTTTTTAACAACTGTTGTTAATATTTTTTTGAAGAGCGATGGTATCTTTCCACCTGAACTGCCCCGTGATTCCCCTAAAACAGCTGAGACCTTGAAGAACTGTGTTGCTGTCAGTGAGGCTGTGACATAAGGTCTCTGGCTGGAGGGGAAAAAAAACCAAAACATTTCTGCTTTTCCATCTTCTGTGTGGCACACGAAGCTTCCCCAGGAGAGTGAGAGGCTCCTGTAGATGGACCTCAGTGCTATGAACTCCTGTAGAGAAAAAACTGCCCTGTATCAGATGCAGCCACAATCCTGTTGCCAGGCATTACAGAAGCAGCAAAAGAAGTGTGTGGGATTGTTGTACTCGTTCAGTTTGTTCAGGCTCAAACTGACACAAATCAGTTTGATTTTTTTCTTCCTGCGCTGAGTACAGATTGTAATGTAACAGCGCAGCCACTCTGTGTAGTAGGAACCTAACAATAACCAGATTTTAACATAGTTACTAATTCTTTTGAAGGAGGCAGTGTTAGCAATTATAAACTAGACTAGACATTGGTAAGAACTTACAAAATAATTACAGGCTTCCTGAAGTAATACAGTGTGAGTAATTACAGGTTTTAAAACGTTGTTATGAGCAGGAGTTTATACCGAAACTTCATCCTGCTCTTTGAAACCAGAATACATAACTCTCACCATGCCACAGCCAACGCTTGTCCTTCTCCACAGAAGAACTTAGCCTCGCTTTACTGTACAGCAAATGTTCTGTGGTACATTATTTAAATTAGCATATAATAGAAACCTAATTGCCCACTAGGGCCCACAGCTTTAGCTGGTGTAGATCAATGTGCTTCCACTGAAGTCAGTGTAGCAATGTTGATTTTCACCCCTGGAGGATCTGGCTCAGCAGCTTGTTTCTATTCCAAGCATTGTTAAAGGAGATAGTGCATTTAGAATATTAAACCATGGCATTGTCAGAGATAGCCTGCTCAGTTTATGTGCGAGTGAAGAGAAATAAAGAGGTAAAACTATTATTTTTATCTGAGGATTTCAATTTGCAATGTCAGTTATTCGCAGTGACTGATCTGGTGCAACGGGGAAATCTTAAACGTTGGGGTCATCTTGTTGTGGCTTTAATTTCCTACGTCTGTAGTTATCTAATCCTCTCAGTGTGAGTAAGCATGATTAGTATTTACTTCTGTTCTATGTTCCAGTGCCCTGAGCCAGGTCCTGTGCTAAGTCCTAAGTGACTCTCCTACTTCATTGACGTTAACTTACACTGTAGTAATTTAAGTAAAAACTGAGACTTTATGTTTGAAGCCCCTGAACGTATTTCTTCGATGTGGATTCTGCTCAGATGTCAAGGTTTGCAGCGTATTTGTTGGTATTTTTAAGTGGTTTTGGATTTTTTTTGTAGCAGTGTTTTCTGTCACAGGGATTTGGAACGAAACTGCCTGCTTGATTGGGACACAACCAGGAGCGCTGTTACAGCTGTACAACTGGTTTGTAAGTTGCTACAGTAAGAACAACAGCTGTCTCTCTCTCTGGAGAGTCAAGTACCAAAATGAATAATAGTTCTTCACTTTATCAAGTGGCTTTTACAATAATTTGAAATGCTTGGTGCAAGAAGCTTATTTTACTTATGAATGCTCCATTCAGGAACAGAGAAACTTCAGTTCTGAGCCGAGCCAACAATCCTTCTTTGTTGAAGTTGTTTCCTCCCGTTTTGCTGCCATTATTCACAGGCCTCAGGCTGCTCCCCCCCCCTTACCTCTGCTTCCATTTGTCCCCTGGTAGCTCTGGATAATCACAGCTATTCTTCTGAGAGTAGGAATGTGGGAGTTCTGGTCAAACATTTTGGTTCGTTATCACGGACAGTGTGGCAAAGGACTGCATATGAGTGGTTTGAAACAGTACAGTGTTAAAGCTCTCAACAGTTTGAGTTGCCTGGTGTTCTTGTCTCTCTTCTGGCACATGCAGAATACAAGCATGGACAGAAACAGCATCAGGAGTGATGAGTAAAGGCTGTTGTGAAAGGGTTTACTGATTATTAGCTTCATTCTCAGTAAAGTACTGCATGCTTTCATTCAGCTCTGCTTATGAGGTTGTTGGTTGTTTTTTTTGCCCTGACCAAGTATAGGTCAGCAAATGGTTTTTGTTATCTTTGCATAGGATGATTACAGTAATACAGGTGCTGTTTCTATTATTTTCTCCTAACCTTTATCAAGCCTCCTTTGTTTTAGGAAACACAGATCAAATCCTTTCACTACTTGCCTGCCTGCCATTGTCTCTTAGCCTTTAGGACCTTGTGTTGACCATATGAAGCAAGTTGATTCTTCTCTTGCAATCTCTCAAACACATTTAAGAACTGAGTCCGTCATTTTCTTCTGATAATTTCCTGTTCATACTTACATTCTGCACAGTGTGTGTATTCTGCCTGGCTCTCTGGGGCGTAGGATTGTCTCCTTCTTCATGGTACTTTCATACCTGTTTGAAAAAGATGTCAGCATTCTCTGTTTTTTGGGGCATCATTTTGAAATTTCAATTATTTTTTTTTAGTAAGTGTATAGATAAAGTATTAAGGCAACCATACGGATGTTGATGATAAGGCAGTGCTTCAGGTTCCTTTGTTTTCAGTACTATGTTTTTCAGCCTTGATGTGTTTTTATGGTGCTTTTCTTCCTGCTTAAAAACATGGGAACATTTAACCTATGTGGCCGTATTTGTGTAATATGAATCATCATCTCTTGAGGTAAGGATACTGTCTTGCATGTGTGAGAATAACAATGCAATGTAATTTTAGAATCTGAAGGCCAGCTGGCACAACACTGAAGATGGTAGCTTCCCCGAGCAGTTAATCGTGTTAGGTAACTCATGATGCAAACTGTCGTGCTCTCTAGAGTGTGTGAGCCTCTTACCTGGGTAAGTTAGAAGAAAAGCTGAATGAACTTTGAGAGCTGCAAAATATGCTGCAACTAAACGGCAGAAGATCAGCCGATAGTGCTGTGCTTGTATCACTTTACTCCCCAGTGAGGTCAGAGTAGTAAAGCTATTATGTGCGGGGCTTTTTGCTTTTTTGTTAGGAAGAAGCAGGATTGCTAAGATAATGGGTGAAGGCACTGGAGCATTCATGGCAATAATTTCTAAAAGTTGGAGATAAATAGGCAGGCAAAGTTGAAGACTTATCGGGGTGGGGATATTAGCATTTTGAATACTCTCTGCACAGATGCAGTTATCATTTAATTGACTTTACCTTAGGGAACACTAGAAAATCACTACACAGCCATAAAGGAAAAGCTTTTGCAGAGTCCATAAGGGCTCTGTTCTGCTGTACAAGCAACTGAAGCTGTTACGCTAATGGAGTCGCAACAGGGAAGGAGAAAGCCTGCCTCTGATCTGCTACTACAACAGCTCGGACATGACAACCTGTATCCTGTCCTTCCTTTACACCTATCCTCACGAGTAACTTCATTAGCTTGAATCACAGCTGTCACCTTGCTTCTCTTTTGATGCAAGGAGAGAAAGTTGCATCTTTGTGAGGGAATGGGGCCTGTTGCCTCCAGGGGCGATTTGCCCCCAGACCAGCCCAGTCCCCACAAGCTGCCATTTAAGCCCAAGGCCCAGCTCATCACCAACAGCATGTTGCAGAGGTCGGTCTTGAGGTCTGTCTGCCATACACAGCACTCCTGGCTGGCAGTCTGGGCTTGCTCTGCTGCTCTTTCCATGGCATTTTTAAGACAGAGGGGAATTCTGCATTCAGGGCTGCAGCAATTTGTGCTACAAATTGGATTGTAATTGCCTGCTCCCCCGAGAGGTGCATGTGATGTGCAGCGTGCCCATTTACCCGCTGCACACATGGCTGGTGACAGGGCTCCCAGCTGCCGTGCTGTCCTGCTTGGCAGGAAGCAGTGAGGGGAGGCAGGACTCGTGGATCACAGGGGAGGGCAGACATAGGCACCCTTCTCCTGTCACGTCCTGTGTGTCATCTGTGGAGCCAAAGGACCAATGTGGGAATGAGAAGATGACCAATTTGGGTTTTTCCCTAAACTTGGTTTTCAGTCTGATGTCTGGAACAAAGGGGGTTACTTTGAATTTTAAATGATTTTAGTAGGAAAAGAATTGATTGTGTAGTATTTAGTGAGGCTGCAGTTAGACCTTGCATTTGCCGTACTTTCAAAGAGCTGCCTGGAGCTGCAGAACAGTATTGTGCTTGTATGAATACAGAGTAAATTCTTAGCAGGTGCTTTACTAGATTGAGACGGGTGTTTGGTGTCTGAGCATTGCTGGTCTCTTACCTTGCTGATTTGCTGAAATTCTCCACTCATCAGGCCTGCACAGCAAACGACATTGAAACCCCCAGTTCAATGGGAACTTTTCATACAGAATAGTTGCTTGTTTTGTTTGTAGTCATTATTTTTAAATTTGCTATCTAAGCATGTTAGGGTTTTATTGGTATTATTCCTTCAGCAGCAACATCAGTTACTCCAGGCATTGTTTAAAGCTTATTTTTTTGCATTTCTTAGTGAGATTTGGCTTAAAGGAAAATCAGTAGAGGGAAAAGAATTAGTAAATCAAACCCTTCCTTTCCCTTTCGAACCTCTAGTTTTTCCACCCTCAAGTAAGTACGTGAAAGGAGTTTAACAACTTTAAATTGGATTTTGGAATGTCAGATGACTCTAATAGCCTTTATACACAAATAACAACAGAAGAGCTGATTATTATTTCTGGGCTCTGCGATGCACTTATGTAATCATTAATCTTGGCACTTCTTTATCTCCAGCAGATTAGGAGGCCACTGTCATTTTGAAGACTGCTATTAAGTAGACTTCGTTAGTGTTTAAATATGTGAAGCTTAACTGTAAGCTTCCTTAATGTATGTGATGGAGTTATCCTGTGCACAAAGCATTCTAATAGAGCTGTTGTATTAAGTTTTAGTCACATATTTGCTGCCACAGAGTCTGAACTGAGACATGTTTTAATGTAAAACAGCAGGTACGCAGCATCTGAGGGCACTTCAAATGCTTTTTAAGTTGAAAGCATTCAGCAAACAAACTTGCTGTATCTTCTACCTTTCAGTTAGTTTTGTCACAGACAGGCAGGAAATTAAATTCTATGGAATGAATAAGTAGAAGAGGGTTTTAATGAAGGCCATAACACCTAATTAATTGTGGCAATGGAAGATCTTACACTAGGCCTTTTCTTTCCACAAGCTTGTAATTTTCAAAAACATTTTTGTGGGCAAGTACCTTTTTTTTTTTTTCCTTCCATCATCCATGTCAGAAAATGAAGATGGTTTTCAAACACAGGATGGTTTATGCAGACTTGATAAGGAGATAAGAACCACAGAGCCAAGGCTAGGAAGATGCCATGAATGTACTTGTGGGGGACAGCACCATAGTGCAAGGTTTAAAGAACATATTGAAAACTAAACTTTCCCTAGCAAGAATGTTTTTGAGAGTGTTCTGTAGACTGGTTTTATTTTGGTGTAAACCTCAGCCTATCAAATTTCCATCTCCTCTGATATGATCCTTGACACTATCCCTCCTGGTCTAGCTTATGGGAGCAGTTCATAGCATTTCTTCCTGTGAAGGTGGAGAGAAGTGTGTGCCCAACAGCAAACAGCAGGACAGGCTGCCCTCCAGCAGCTTCCCTCAGTCGCTAAGGGATGGGCAGTGCTGGCCCTCCTTCATCAAAATGAGGGACCACCGAGAAACTTTCATGCAAGTCAATGAAGTACTGCTGAAAGTAGTTTCATTAATCTGAAGCGAACTCACAGAGGAGCTGTGAAAAGGCAAGACAGCACATACACACTAAAAGCAGGAGTGATGAACAGCATCCATAGTTTTGTTTTTGTTTTTAAAAAGTGTTGCCATGTCAGCTGGGATAACACTGAACAGACTTGAGAAGAAGTCCTTTTTGTGAGGTTTGAGGATTCTGGTTTGGGCTTCAGTAGGTGAGCTTCTAGTAGACAAGTACTGCAGAACTTGAAAGGACTTGCAGAATAAGTTCTCATTATTGACTGCTATCTGAAACCAGACAGGAGGTTTTGGAGGGAGTTAAAAATGAGCACATGCAGCTAGAAGGCTTTTTACTGTTCGGAGTTCTGAAGTCGGTTTTGGTTGTTATTGTTCGTCTCTCAGATGAATCATCAGAAAATGAAAATTTAAACCAGACATTTAGAGCACACCTTTGTGAGAAACTAATGATTCCACTTGGCATACAGCATCAAAGGAAGCCTTTTTAATGACATCAAATTTGTGTATAGCCAAAAAGAAAATACAAAATCTTAAAAATGCAAACGCAGTCTCTTCAGAATGATGGAGCTTTTCTAGTTTGGGTGAAATGTTTTTTTCCTGCTACTTTTTCTTCTAGAAGTACATTCAGCTTTTGAGTGTTTTTTTTTCATCAAAGTACATCTCCTTTGCAAGGAAGTGGCTTCTTTACCAGCCACATTTGTTTGGTTTTAACTTAATGATACAAAATGCTATTTCTCAATACGCATACAGTGATACATCCTGCAATTTATGCAGAGGCCAAACCCTTAATAAAATTTTTGCAGCCTGGCAAAATGGCAGGACAGTTGTGAATCATGACAACTCTTTGTTTAAAGGGATACTTACTTTATTGGGAATATCTTGCTCTACCTTCTGCATGCTTTCCATATTCCATTTTCCAAACTGACTATTGCTCTCTCTGGGTCAATAACTGTTGAACTGTAGTATGGCTTGGTTGAATAGTAAGTGTAACAGGAATCTCAGGCACTGGGATGGAGAACAGGTAGGGCTGATGCTGACCAGTGACAACCTGCCTGGGACCTCGTAGCAGCATTCAGGAATTACTGACTGATCTGAGAGCTGTGTGCATATGTGTTAAGAATGAAAATGCAGCATGGCCTGCAGTCAGATTGAGCCTCATTGACCTAATGTTTCTTTAACATTTCAGGAGCCTGTCATCGTGTTAATTGAAATTGTTAGTAATTTTGACACTGTGTTGCAAGTGAAGTGAAATGCCACCCCTTTCCTCCCCCCCCTTACCATTGTTCTGAAAAGCTAGTAAAAGATCTTTCCTTAGTAAATGTTAGTGCAATTTAGCTAGCAACTAATTAAATCTCATAATTTGTCAGGCATTATAACTATATGCCTTTCAATAGGGACTGAAATGACTGCATTCAAAGTATTGATAATTTCAGACTGTTTTGGAACCCAGGAAAAATAATGCAGGGAAAGGCCATTGTGCTGGCACACTGCTGTGTTCAGCTGACTTGCCTAAAATTAGCAGGCAGTTGGTAATTTCTTCTTTGTTTCTGTACAGCACAACAAATATTAAGATGCTACCATAGGTGAGAATCCTATAAAAAACACATACAGCGTGGACTGACATAAACATTTGCTTGCTGCTTACTGAATAAACGCAGCAGCAAATCAGAACAGAAAAAGCAGCCAGTGCTGCCAGTTATTCTGGTAATAGCTCACACCTATGTTGCTGCT